TAGCACTTAGCTTTTACAGTGTTGAGGTATATTCCTACTATCCCTAGTTTTTCTAGTGTTTTGAACATGAAGTGGTGCTGCTCTATTATGTAAAATGCTTTCTCTACAGCTATTGAGATAATTATATAATTCTTATCTTTAAGTCTGTTGATGTGACATATAACATTTATTGATTTCTGTATGTTGAACCAACTTTGCATCCCTGGGATGAACCCATCTTGATTGTGGTGCACTATCTTTTTGATAAATTTTTGTATGTGATTTGCCAGAAATTTATTGAGAATGTTTGCATCTATTCATCAGGGAAATTGGTCTGAAGTTTCCTTGATGTGTTTTCGTCTGATTTTGGTATCAGGGTGATACTAGCCTCATAGAATGAGTTTGGAAGGGTTCCCCCCCTTTGTCCTTCATGGAATAATTTGAGGAGTATTGGTATTAATTCTTTTTTGAAGGTGTTGTAGAACTTGGCTGATAATTTGTCTGGTCCTAAGGTTTTTCTTGGGTTGGTAGAATTTTGATAGCATCTTCTGTTTCTTTGTTTGAAATAGATCTGTTTAAATTATTTATGTCCTCCTTATTTGGATTGGATAGAACATATGTCTCTAGAAATTTGTTGATGTCTTTGAAATTTTTCTATTTTATTGGAGTATAAATTTTCAAAATAGTTTCTAATTATCTTCTGTATTTCAAGGTGTCTGTTGTAATATTTGCTTTTTCATCATGAATTTTAGTAATTTGAGTTTTCTCTCTCCTTCTCTTCATTTAAAAGCACATAGTAAAAGTGATCTGGGAGGCTGGGACAGGACAATCACAAATTCAAGTCAAGCCTAAGCAACTTAGTGAGAGCCTATGTCCTAAAATGAAGATGACTGAATATGTAACTCAATGGTAAAGCACCTTTGGCTTCAATCCCCAGTACAAAAAATATTTGCTTTTACTATACTGGTTAATTTTCTTATCTATATGGAATAACATTGTTAATTTGTACAGAAAAACCTTATAGAATATTGTCCCACATTACATTGAAACAATAGATCAATGTTTTTGAGAACTGATTTCATAATCATATTTGGCTTTCCAATCCATGGACATGGTATATCTCTTTTCATTTAATATGTCTTCTTTAATTTCTCCATAAAAATTTTAGTAAAGAGATTTTTCATACATTTTTGAAAATTTATTCTAAATATTTATGGTTTTGGCATAGTTTAAATATTATTTTTCAGTTTTAAAAGTGACTAAAATATAAAAATAAAATTGCTTGTGTATATATTATGAGGTTTTCTTACTATCTTACTGAATTCTAGGGTTCTTGAAATTTCGTGCATGAATGAATGGTTACATAGGAATGGGGAGTTTACTTTTTCCTGTTTTATATTTTAGCATTTGTTTTGCTTTGTATTTGTTTCTGGGATTGAATCCAGTGTTATTCTCCCACAGATGTACATACACAGGCCCTTCTTCCTTTTTTTGGAACTTGGCCTTGCTATGTTGCTGAGGCTGGCTGGTCTTGAGCTTGCAATCTTCCTGCCTCAGCCTCCTGAATAGTTGGGATTACAGATTTGTGCCACTGTGTCCAGTTCTATCTTTATGGTTTTTATTTGTTTGTTTGTTTTGTACTGGGAATTGAACTCAGGGGCACTCAACCACTGAGTACACTCCCAGCCCTATTTTGTATTTTATTTAGTGACAGGGTCTCACTGAGTTGCTTAGTGCCTCACTTTTGCTGAAGTTGGCTTTGAACTCATGGTACTCCTGCCTCAGCCTCCTGAGCAACTGGGATTATGGGTGCACTACTGTACCAGGTTATTTACAGTTTTTAATTGGTTCTTTTTAGTTATACATGATAGCAGAATTCATTTTAATATAATTATATGACCATGGAATAGATCTTATTCTAATTAGTACCCCATTCTTGTGGATGTACATGATGGTAGATCAATTCTGGAGCAACTGCAACTTGATTCTACTGGGACAAGTGAGAATTCCAGAGATGGATCTCCAGAATTGCCTATCTTAAAGTTAAGGGAATGATATGAATTGCATTTCAGCCTCCATTATTTGGAATTATACTCAGGGTCCTTAACTGCTTCCCCAGCTAGAAAGTTTTGCATGTTGAGAGAGCAAACTGTTAATGGCCTCCCTGAAAGTCTTAGGTTGCAGAGAATGAGTGAAACATTAAAGTGAACCCCTTACTGGATAGAATTGGAAGCAGGAAATTGAGTGTAGTTGGAATCTCACAGCAAAATTTGTTTGAATTTCTTAGTCTTTGTTCTTTCATTTGAAAAATGAAGATAATAAAAGCTCCTACCTCATTAAATTAATGTGAGGATTAAATATGTGTAAAATGTTCAGCATAGTTACTGATAAAATGTGAGCCCTAAATGAATATAAGTTCTAATTATCTTAATGGTGGTAAACCTACTCCCTCAAATGAAGATTTTTGAGGTTTTAGATTGGAGATTCTTAAATTAGGATTAACAAGAAAACCAGGGTAAGAAATAGCCTTCTACATCATAAGGCACTGTTCAAGAGTTAACACTATGAGACTGTCATCTGGAATTTATCCAAACTTATTTTTAATTTCTAATTCTTTATACTAATTTCAAGGCATTTGTTTTCTTACTTTTGCCTTTAATAATTAACATACAAGTCTTAAATTTTGTTCTTTAAAATTCAGTGGAATGAATCTGACCTAACTTTCCCATATACATATATAAATATATACCACAGTGAATCTCAACATCACATACATCCACAAGGCTGGGATTCTAATTAGAATAAGATTTTTTCCATGTTTGTATAAATATATCAAAGTAGCTTCTACTGTCATGTATAACTAAAAAGAACAAATTTTAAAAATTTACAGTGTAAAGTTCTACTCATATTCCTCCAAAGTTCTTACTTAATATTATATGTTTTATATTCATGTAGCATAAATATAAAATATTTATCAATAAAATACACATTGAATATTTAAAGCTGTGGTTAGTATTTTATAACTGAAGTTTAAAACTATTTCTTAATCAGAAATATCAAAATGAACATGGAATCAATATTTGTCTATAAGATACTTTGCTAAAACAAAGGTTATAGAACTATGCATGAACACCTAGATAGAAACAAAAGAATAAATTGACCACTTGAGAATTGAAAGAATCTTTAAAGACAGTTGTTTTTGTGTGTGAATTGAGCTTCTCAATATCCACTATAGAAAATAATGATGCTCCATGATGCTTTTGAATTCACACTTGAATCTGTACTGTCTTCAGAGATTTATCCTCCAAAGAGAATAAAAATAAAAAAATAGTAATATAAACACTATGACTTTGAGTTGTTAATGAAAGATGAATGAATTCTCATTTCAGAAGGTAAGTCTTTGGCTTCTGTTAATGAATCTGACTTATTGGTTTTCATTTCCAGCAATCAGCTAGTAGGCAATATTGGCTGATTTGCTGCTTTCACCATTAGTTTCACATGAATAAACATTCATAATCCCAGCTACCAGGATTCCTTGTTATCCACCCATTCATATGGTCTTTCAGTGCTATCCAAACTTGGTATTCTGCCAAAATGCTGGCTTTCAGATGCCTTGGGCATTTATTGCTATTTAGAGATTTAAATTGAAGATTTTAAAATGCAAAGATTAAAAAAAGCTTTGTGGTAAAACTTACTTTATTGGGTATCTGAGTGCTTTAGATTAAAGGCAGGTTTTAAAAACCTTTGTATATACACTCAGAAAATTTGGAGATGATCAACCTGGTCCACAGCACAATGATTCTTCTTCTTTAATCTATACATTTTTAGTTTTTCTTTATTTATAGTTATTAGTCTATACATTATTCAGCTATATAATATTTTGAAAATAATATTATTTCATGCTACAAAACACCAAGTTGGTCTACTTTAATTATGTACTGAGTATCAATTATGTTTTGTCATAGTAATTACATTGATATTTCATTGATTTTGCTTGTTAAAAATAACATGTGAACATAAGTAATAAATTTATAGTAAATAACCTTACTCATCACACTAATTTAGAATTCCTGTTTATACTATGAAGAAAAATTTTGTTTCTTCTTGTATTATAAAAAGATAATATTTAACTAATAAATATTGTGAAGTACATAAAAACCTAGGTGACTCTTTTACAGATCTGCTATCAGAACTTTTAAAGGAACCTCTGATTCATTCATTGCTAGGTTCATTAGATTTCATTTCATTATTTAAATTCATTATTATAGAACTACTAAATGAAGGGGCAGTCAGACTTCCAAGGTTTTAGAGTATTTATACTAATGTTATACATTCCAGTTGCTATGCACAAGTTACAATCTGTTTTCGGATTTTGTTAATGCATCTGCAATAGTGAAAGTGATTAATGTTATTCTATGTAAAATATAATGAATTATACATCCTTGTGTTTACATATGTAATCCTTAGCTGTATTCTTATCATTTAGAAAGTATGTGGTAAATGTTAATTATTATTCCGTTCCTTCTTGCAAAACCCTATGCATATCCTTTCTTTCTCATTATACTCTGTTTCATTTTTGTCATTCACCTATCTTATAATTTTATTATTTGGCTTTAAATCCACTTTAGATAGATACTGGGGAACAATATATAACATACAAAGTAAAAACATTAAATGGAAGAATTTTTCTGGAGTTTCTTTATTTAAATTTTTTTAGTTGTACATAACACCTTTATTTTTATTTATTTGCTTATATGGTGCTGAGGATAGAACCCAGTGCCTCACACATTTAAGGCAAGCACTCTACTGCTCAGCCACAACCCAGTCCCTTTCTGGAGTTTCTGCTAAAAACAATTTTAACATTACAGACAGACTCATCATTGCATATAAAGAAATAATGGTACTTCAATATTCTTATTATAGTAACATTCTATCTGCCTTAATGAAAATGGAACCATGAAATTTAAAAATGCTTTCATATCATGTTTCCCCACAGGCCATTTTTCAGCAGCCACTGTCCCATGGATTCCCTGGTCAATGGGAACCACACTGCAGTGACAGAGTTCATTCTATTGGGCTTAACTGATGATTCAGTCCTTTGTGTCTTCCTCTTTGTGATCATCCTGTGCATCTACCTGGTGACCATCTGTGGCAATCTCAGCACGATCATTCTCATCAGAGTCTCTTCTCAGCTCCATCATCCCATGTACTTTTTTCTGAGCCATTTAGCTTTTGCTGACATAGGCTTTTCATCTTCTGTCACACCCAATATGCTTGTAAACTTCCTGGTGGAGAGAAACGCCATCTCCTACCTTGGATGTGCCACCCAGCTTGGTTCAGTTGTTTTCTTTGGGACAGTGGAGTGCTTCCTTCTGGCTGTCATGGCCTATGATCGCTTTGTGGCAATCTGCAACCCACTGCTTTACTCCACCAAAATGTCCACACAAGTCTTTCTCCAGTTACTTGTAGTGGCTTATACAGGGGGTTTCCTCAATGCTTCCATCTTTTCCCTTTCCTTCTTTTCTTTACTCTTCTGTGGGCCAAATGGTGTCAATCATTTCTTCTGTGATTTTGCTCCTTTAGTTGAGCTCTCCTGCTCTGATGTCAGCATCATTGCATTTGTTTCCTCATTTTCTGCTGGCTCCATCATCGTGGTCACAGCATTTGTCATTGCCATCTCCTACATCTACATCCTCATCACCATCCTGAGGATGAGCTCTACAGAGGGGCGCCACAAGGCCTTCTCCACCTGCACCTCCCACCTCACTGCAGTCACTCTTTACTATGGAACAATTACCTTCATTTATGTGATGCCCAAGTCCAGCTACTCCACGGATCAGAACAAAGTGGTGTCTGTATTCTACACGGTGGTGATCCCCATGCTGAATCCCCTCATCTATAGTCTCAGGAACCAGGAGATAAAGGGGACTCTGAAGAGAGTGCTGGGCAGGAAAATATTTTCTTGGTGACATCTGCTATTTTGTCAGGCTTGATATAATAATAATATCCCATACATACAATAATAAGAGGAAGCAGAATGCCTGTGATTGAAATATATCTGTCCATATGTCAATAGTCGGTGCATGATCTAGTCCTCTGTGTTTTCCTCTTCTTGATCATCCTATGCATCTACCTGGTGACAGTCTCTGGTAATCTCAGCACAATCATTCTTATCAGAGTCTCTTCGCAGCTCTATTCAGTAAACATAGAAGTTCAATTTTCAGATGACATAGTAAGTCTGAGGCTCATACTGAGTTACTTGAATAAAACTAAATCGAATTCATGATTAAGAACACAAGTTGGTTCACATAAAATAAAATCTGTTGAAAATCCCTTTAAAGTTGTATTTACATTTTTTCAAAAGTTTTTCTCTTTCATAAGTTAAGGTCATTATACTTTGACATTGTTTAAATATTAAGTGTCCCCTAAAGGTCCTTGTGGTAAAGTATTGGTCCCTATTAGTGTTTTTCTATATTTTTTTCTCTTTATACATTGATTATCTGAGCTATTATTTATAGTAATAGAAACCTAACTTGCCTCAATCCTTTTGGCTGTGTCCATTTAAAAAATCAGTTTATTCTGGATAGGGATGATAACTATATTGTGACTGAGAACACTGTAAGAGAAATGACAAAATGCAGCCACACAGTAAAATTGCTGGAATTGATTTTGGAGAAAGGCTATCTGTGGGGGATGGACTTTGTGAGCCCATAAAATTCTGGTCTGTGTCCCTGGCCTTTCTCACCTAATTATGGAGTCCCCAGTTAAAAACAGGACGAGTGACCTCTGATTTATTTGTGAATTTCTCTGACAGGTTCAAGCAGGTAAGTTCCTCTGCTGGAATGAGATATGTTCTAAGCTCCTAAGGACTGAGTAAAACAAAAACAAACAATGAATTTCCAAGAAGAAAATTCAGCTTCTATGATGTCAATGATGCTATGAAGAGCAAACTTTTAGAGTGGCGTCATGGTCAGACCCACACTCTCCTCAAGATGCTCAAGCAGTCCTGGTTGTCCTTTCCTTGGAATTATGAGTATCATCTGAAGAGATCTCATTAATCTTCTTATGCTAAGAACTGCCACATTTCTTTCCCTTTCTTCTCTTCAGTGTTCCCAACGGAAAGTTCATCTTTCTTTTTAATAGAAGCAAGGACATTAATCTTTTCATTGTTTTACTTATTCTTTTGTACATTCAAAAATCATAATTGAGTGATTATCAGGTACTGTCCTTGTCCATTGAGGATATGTGACAAACTTTGGAAGATGTCAGCTTCATGGGATTTATCCTCTAGTATAGGATTCAGACACTGAAACTACAAAATAAGTGATATAGATTATGAGAAGGGGATGAGACTATGCAGAAAAAAAAAGCCAAGCAAGACAGGCTGATGCATCAGAAGTAGTCAGTCCAGGTCCCATTGGGAACATACACCTGAGAAACAATCATAGGTAAGGACAACTTATGGTGGATATAGTACCACCTACACCCAGTTGTGAGAGCCAGATATCCCACTCACACAAGCAATCTACCTTAAGACTTCTATTCCAGCGGTAGCAGGGTCGGTCATTTTAGACAATAGTAGTGAACACAAATAAAACAAATGATGCAATGTTTAAATATTTCTTAAACAAATTTTTTTTTCATAATGAGAGATTTTGACAAGTCAGAAGAAAATGTAACTAACTAGAATATTAGAGTACATGTTTTTTTGGAATGAGAGTGGCTTAAGTGAAGAGATTGATATGTCCCTCTGAGAAATCTGACTGGTACACTTACATAAATCTCCAGGAAAAAGGGAAACTTTATAATTAAAGTAATTAAAACTTGCATACATTTGCAGCCCACAAAGGTCTAAGGAATCTCAAACTTTGGATATAAGATGATCAGGAACAGGTAGTGTCTCAGATAAACTAAATAGCAAATAACACACAAACAGAGAAAATTGATGGCCAGCACAAAAGGAAACAAGTTGCCAAATCGGAGCCAGTGAAACAACAGACAAAACAAACAAAGTCACTTAAGATTTAAGATATGGGATGAATCAACATAGACCATAATATTACTTTGGTTACAAAGGTAAAGGCTACTTGAAATACATACAATCACAGGAAACCAAAATTAATGACTAAATAGTATGCAGAATAATCATATGGAACTTCATAACTGAAATCTTCACCATGCCAGCAATTTATACCAGGTGTTTCCCTCTGGTAAACGGTGTTTAGATAACCACAGGCACAGAAGCAGTCTAGCTTAGAAGAAGCGCCATGATCCAACTGGAACCAATCTATTTTATAAAAATGTCAGATGTAGTTTTAGGATCTCTGCAAGGATTGTTTATAGTTATAAAAACCATCACACTCAGAGAGGTATATGGCATAAAAAAGAACATATTTCATGTATTGTCCTCCCAAATCAGTATTGTTATGAGTAATGTTGTCTGCAACCAGCCGGTATTTCAGCTTCTTAGGATTTAGGGGAAATAGGAAATTCAGCCAAGGTCAAATTTGGTCTCAGATAAATCAAAATATTTTGTTAACCCTTTACCCTAAAGAGTACAGTGCATGTCATCAGGCATCCTAAATGCAGTACAATTTTGATGTACAATTCTTAACAAATGCATTGGTTAAGGTTCCATTATAGGTCACAGGAGTAACATAAGACCCTGAATGTTATCACTTGAGAAATGCCCCACCAGCTCTGTGGGCCAAGTACACAATTCTCAGAGAAATTATGAAACATCTTCAGATTTTTTAAAAGGTACTACTTTAATCTTCACAGTTCTATAGTTTTTCTTTGGCAGAGTTTTAGAGTTTTCAAATCCTTTGCCAAAGCTATACACTTATTAATTAATGAGGCTATACATAAAACATTGGTTTGCAAAATTATGGGTTTTTTTTGGATTTTACAATAATTTTTCTCCTAACTACATCAATGTTATTGGCACATGTTAATCCTCTTGGTAGGAAAAAATTAATAGTTAAAACAAAAACTAAAACTCACCTCTTAGGAAAATCAAATGAAAAAGGTCATGATCTGATTTTTCAGGACACCAATTTTTAAGTAGAATTAAGATGAAAAACATAAACCACAATAGACAACATTAGACATACGTAGAATATATTTAGAGCACAACAACCCACAGCAAAGCATAAATTAAAGCATATTTTTGAAAATTGACCTAGAATTGAGAAAGAGCATGCCTAAACTTGTTTTCATAGTTGCCAATTACAAAGTATCCTTTTAAATGTATTACAGTAATGTTAGATATCAACAAAATACAATGAGAAAACACATTTGCTGATAAACAAATTAATATATATTAAATAGTTCATGGGTCAAAGAAGAGAATCACATGATATTAGGAATCAATTCTATAAGAAACATTCTACATATAAAATAATTTGGTTGAGATATACAGTTTTTTAAGAGAATTCATAAACTTAAATTCACTTACTAGAAAAATTCTAAATATTAATGACTTCCATTTATTTCAGTAAGGTAGAGAAGATTATAAAGACCATGGTGTCAAAGGCAAATAATTCTAAAATTAACAGCTAAAATTAATCCAATTGAAAATCAATTTACAATGGAGAAAAACAGCAAAGCCAAATATATTTCTTTTCTTATATTGATTTTTGTCAGCCTTATCATATAAAAATAAAAGGGAAAGTAGAAATAATCAATATAAAAAAGTAAAAGACTATCATAAAGGATTTTGCAGATATTAGTAGTAATAAAAATTAATTATAAACAATTCTATGGTAATTTACATAAATAATTCCAAGATTGGTAAGTCTAGTCCAAACTAACTCAAAACCAGGAATCATTTAACCATTAAATAAATGTAATTAATATATAAAAGTCTGCCCACAAAGTAAAAGCATAAGCAGATATACCTTACTAATTATTTTACTAAGTAATAAAGACATTCAACAAGTAATAATTCCAGTGTTCTATATAAAGTCATTATTGGCACAAAAGAGTGCACACTTCAACTTAGGATGTGTTAGCACTAAAACTCAACAAAGATCATAGTAAGAGCAATTATAGTCCATTCTTTTTTTCTGAAACTAGATGAAAATAAATTCCAGAATATTAGCAAATATGATTAGTAAATTATGAGAATAATATATCAATTTGTGGTTGAATTTATTCTAGGAAGGAAATATACATTAAACCTTAGAATTTCAATAGATTGAGTAATTAAAAAGAAACAGAAACCTTTCATCTGAAAAGTACAGAAGGCACAATGAGCAAGGTGATAAAAGTTATCAATAGCAGAAGAGATCAAAGTGAAGGAAGAAGCCATGAGATCAAAGACAGGCTTCTTTAACATACAAGGTTGGAGGAGAAAAAAGAAAAAAGAATGAAGAGTAATGAAGAAAGGTCACAGGAACTTTGGATTAGCATCAAAACAGAGAACATTTGGTCCGTTGAGGTTCAAGAGGGAGAATGTCAAAGGGGTCAAAAGCTTATTCAAATCAATAATAAAAGAAAACTTCCTAAACCTAGAGAAAGATACAAAAATACATGTAAAAGAGGTCAAAGATAATTAGTCAGATTCAACTCAACCAAGTTTACTCATAGACATAAGCAAGCTCTCAATTGTTGAAGACCAAGGGAGAGTTATCAAAGCAGCAAGACGAAGTCCAAGTTGTGATGAGTTTAAGGGTCAGAGCCTGGAACTTGAGAATAAAGGAGCTGCAGGAAATTTGGTGGGTACCTAAATGCAAGGGAGCTGCAGGTAGAATGACCCCCAAGATAAACTGAGAATAAGAGTGTTCCAATTAACTCATGTGGAATCTAAAAAGCTTATCCTCCTTGAAGTAGTTGAGAATAGTGGTAATCAGAAGTCAGGGAGAGTGGGAGAGGTGGGAAGGTTGGGGGAAGTTTGATCAATGAGTGCTAAGTTACAGTTATAGAGCAAGAATTTCTCCTTCTCCTGTGCTATTGCATGGTAGGGTAA